TTTTTTTTTTTTTTTTTTTTTTTTTTTTTTTTGTAGAGCAAAACGTTTTTTTCTTTGCAGTTTTTTACTGGCACTTCTTAATCAGTTATTTGAGAAAAACAGTAAATTTTGCAGGGTTTCTGTCGTAATGTTGCAACATCGTTGTTGTCTTGTGATGCCTTTACGTTGACATGTGCTCTGTTGTAAAAAGATTTCATCTCTTTCGTTACGTTTCTGATCCAACATCGAACAATTACTGTAATATATATTATATGTTTAATTAATTTTATTTTATTCTGCATTTTATTCTGCTTTTTGAAAAAAGCATAAAAAAAGAAAAAGAAACTAAACAGTCGTTTTACTACAATAAACTTTATTACAGATTGTATTTATCTCAGAGTAAATGAGAGTTCAGTCATAAGGATGTTTCTGCTAATAGCGAATTCTCTGGTAGTATTCTTGTTTTTTTTTACGACGCTGATTTATTGATAAACTATTAATCGATGACATTGATAAGAAAGCCGTATTGATTACTGGAGCTGGATCAGGTTTATTGAGATTGTGGTTTAACCTTTTTCCCCAAAAGACGGTAAAGCATTTTGAAAGAAAAAGCATAAATACTTGTTGTTGTTTGGAATTATCAGAAATATAGCGATACTTCACACAAAACTAATTGCTTTTTTTGTGCGTAACATAATCGTTAAGAAGGTAGTATAATAGCAAAAATGCAGTAAGGTACTACAACTAAAAAGAAAATAAACGACCCATAGTACTTTTAGGCTTTGAAAAGGCATTAGTCGAAAACTGTTTAGATAAAGGAATGATATTTTTTGCAGGCTGCCGTCAACAAAAGGTAAGTTTTTGGTTACCTCACAGAAATGCAGCAAACATCGTTTTTAAAAGCAAAAAACACCTAACCAAAGCCTAAAACTATAACTGAGTAACCAAGTAGGTTTCGTGTTTTGAGAAGTATTTACGTAAAACCTGAATTTGAATTTACTTTGAAATAGCCAAAAAAATATTTTTGACATGATACGCTATCACATTTCTTAGAATGAGACATGTTGCGACATATGTTTAGTTCAAAAATTGATACAGAAGAAAATTTAGTCAGTCGACAAACTGAAAGAAGAATTCAGTGAAAAAAAGAGCTGTCTGGAAGTTTTTCAATCAGACGTTACTTCTGACGAAAGTGTTAACAAGTGCAAAGAGTTGGTAGAGAAAAAACTGCAAACTCTTACTACTGGTTAGTTAAAGCAGTAAATCTTCAAGCAAATGTTGGTGAATTAAATAGCCTTTTTTTGTAATTATGGATGGTTTTTTAATAATGTTATTTCTATAATGTATAAGATGATGCTCACATTCCTTCAAGTATTCAATTTATCTTACCCTCTACATCCTCTTTATAAAAAACTTTAATGTTTTTTAAAATTGCATGCTCTAATAAACAGTGCAACTCTTTCCAAAGTTTGTCTGAATGATGATTTTTTACGCCTGGATGACTACCAAGCAGTATTGGATGTTAACACGTATGGAGTAATACAGGTGACACATGCGTTTAAATCGCTAATTAAACAATCCAAATAAGAGCGTCCGTGCAGCGCTTCTTCCACAGATCGTTTTATACAATAACATATGAAGCATTTAGAGCAAAAATGATTTTGACTTCTGTTTAGATGGTTCAAATCGCAACAGTCGCTCAAAGTAATGATGATTGATTCGGCTACAGCGCTTGAAGAAATTATAAAGTTTTATAGTTTACACTCAGAATCCACAAATAAAAACTTTCACAATAATCAGAAAATTACATGCTTTTTGTTAATTATAATAAGTAAAAATTTTAAAGACACTTTTTTAATCATATGAAAGCTTTAACAGTAACGTAATGAAACTGTATCAATTAACTATCCTGAGCGAGATTTGATCATAGCTGCTAACAATATTATAATTTGGTTAAAGCAGAAATAATGGCAATTTAATTTTTGGTTTTCTGCAAATGCTGCGTTCGTAAATTCGTGAATTCCTTCTTTTCTTTCGAAAATTAATCGCAGTAAAAATGTCTGTAAGAATTAAACAATAGACTCAGACAAAAAAGTAACTATTTTTTTTATTAAATTTTTATTGAAATATGGCAGCAATTGCTGACGCACCGTATTTGTTGGTTTAAATATAATTTTTAGTAAGACACCTAAACGACTTAATACATAAATTTTTCGGCAACGATTTCTATACACTAAACGCTTAAAAGTAATAGAAAAGTCTACTGCAATTATGTGGCAAAAAAAAGTTAATAAGTTTCAATAAACACCTCAAACTTTTCGATATTTTTGTTATTATAAAGATAATAATAAGCAGTTCCAAACAGCGAAAAACAAAAAGTTCTACAAATGTTTGCTGACTGTTGCTTATGAGAGTGTAAAATAAAAGTTCTTTTCAAAGGAAGAATTATAATCTGCACAGGTGCGCTTTCTAAGATACAAACACCCGGAGCTGGTCCATTTTTAATTAGTGAATCTGCAACGGACAGTTATGCTAAAACATTAAGGTATTCAAAACGATCCTTTTATAAGTACTTATCACGATCTGAATTATTTATCGCAGTGCCTCTACTTTAAGGCGATTTCAGCTTCCAGCTAGATTATCTCAAGTCCGTTCCTTTCTTCGTTTGCATTTACTTTTTTCTTCTTGTGCGTTTCCTTCTGAAAAAAAAAAAAGACAATTTCATTTATTACTACAACTTCCCCTGTAAACTCTTTCGGTTGTTGAATGAGAAAATTTAAACAACCGACATAAAAGGCATAACGAAAGAATTAGAGCCATTTTCGTTCCTAAAGGGAGCTGTTATGACCTCTCTGAACCACTTCTTGATGAAAATCAAATACAAAAAAGAATAATAGTTCTACAAAATCTGAATAATTGTTAGCTAAACACTGAATAAACTGTTGGTTAATTTTTAGAAGGCTCAAGCGGTTTTTTCCTTGTAACGTTTATTGCAGGCAGGAAATGTACGATTATGGTGTAAAAGTGTGCGCGGCAGTGGAAGGAAAATTCTGTGCATTCTTCATTAAACCATTTAAGTTTACGAAAACACTAAATGATTGCTGGACAAACTCACCAAAAGAGCTGAAAGAAGAGTATGGTGAATACTGGTTTGGAAGAGGTAAAGACTCACTTCCGTTAAAACAAAGCCATTTTTATGATAATGCTCATCGTAAATTGGGAGGAAGAACCCTTACTAAAGCTATTTCTGCAACGACCTGACCGCTCTGATGGGCTACGCTGCAGTAACGGTGATGCAGCTCACTAGTTAAAATTAAGTTTAAAGAAGTGTCCTAATTTTCACAACGTTAAACGAAAGGCACTAAATATACATCAAATAGCCGCGCATGACAGATGAAACGAATGCATTTTGAAACAAGCATTAGTGTCTTTAAAAGATACAACGAACTTCATCAGATTTTTAACAGATTCTTACGGTAACCACCTCTGCAAAGATTCTGCATGCTTTTGAGGCCCTTAAAGTACAATTTTAAACAGAAAGAGGATGATTTCAAAAATTTATTCGTTCCAGAGCCAGCAAATTTGAATTTTTTTGCTTTGTAGTTTCCGCACTTCCTTCTTTAGTATAAATGACTTTACTAGAAGTCGAGTCCACAAGAAATAGCACCTATATAGGAGAGGAGTTCATTGGTACGCTCTGCAAACCTCTAACGTGCAGTCTAGCTGATGCATTTTGAAGCAAACATAATTCATTACACTAAACTGGCTACAGTACAATTTTCACTTTATAAGTTGACCAGTAAAAATTTTTACAAAGATTAGGATCATCTTAAATTCAAATTACTGATCAAAATTGAGAATTTTCAAAACGCGTAGCAGAAAATTTATCTTTTAATCGTTATGTAGCCGTTGAAGTGTTGTCTAGGTAAGGTTTTACTTCAGTCCAATAGATTCTTGCTAGACACGCCTGACTAGTAAACCAGTTTACATTTAGTGAAATTCAAAAATTTTAAAAAACAATGTTTCTTACATAAATGTTAACAAAATATAACTTTGGATTTTTTGAAAGTACCACATGTTGCACAAAAGTTTTTGCTCTATGAAATGCCAAAAACTGGTGATTACTTTTTTTGGACGTCAGAAATTACGAACCGGAGAAACTTAAGACTGGAAATATTCCACTGTCGTTGCAGTAATCTCACGCACTTTGCTGTGACTTACCTGTCGTCAGCCGCATCTAAGAGCTGAAGAGAACGATTATTAAGATATGGTATGTTTCAGTTTCCAAAAATCTGTGTGAAAATGTTGCTCTATACACAGAAATAGCTCTTTATTATTATTGTGCGGAACTGCAGCGAGGCACGTTTATTCCAACACTCTCAGCTTCCTATATTTAGTGCACACCTGCAAAGGTCTAAAGGGAACACTGAATTGCGGTTTCAAAGAGGCAACGACAATATCGTATGGAACAGAATTTAGGTAGAAATGTGGGTTTTTTGGATAATAAACACATAGAATACAAGACTATTATTTGTATGACAGTGGTCACAAACTGCTATTGTACAGAGCTATAATAATTCGCCCTTACTCGGACATCACTTGCTTTAATTATGTTTTGGCCAGTTGCTAGCGTCAAAAATGCGTATTTGGTAAAAAAGGAAAATTAAGCATAGAACATTAGCTTTTGATGTGACACAGAGCTTAAACAACAGTGGTTTTTTTAAATATGTGCAAAAGACGCGGGATTTTAAATCTTGTTTTGTAAAAGCCATAGAAGAAAAGGTCTCTTTGGTAAGGATATCTGTATTTCACCAGTGTGTCGATTGCGCAAGCAAAAATGAATCCACTTCAACGTTTTTCGCCCGACGTCCAGTACTCTAATTCTTTCAATCGACCATACAGCGTCAAGAACCTGCGTCTTGCTCTCCACTGACTAAAGGAGCAAATTTCTAGAATTTCTCATGACCCCAAATTATTTGTTAAAAGCAGAATTTTGACAGGAAGGAGACGTGAGTTAGAAGAGTTCACTCTCAGCCAAATCAGTATCTGGAAAGATCCGTTTTAAAACAGTTTTACCTGATATAAAGGCGCACAGAACACTTATTTGCAAGTATTTCTGTTTAAAAAATAACTTTTTAAAATAGATTTTTGAAGAGTGGGAAATATTAGATTTTGTTGGTGAAAGCCAATCAGTCTATCACTTGAGCCATCTGAGTGCAAAATATACGTTTCTCCTGAATCTGTTGCAGCCTGTCTAGTTTAAAAGACTTTGGCACGGGAGTTTAGCGAAAGGTTATTAGCTTAGGAAATTGTTTACTTGCAACCGAAACGTTAATGATGCGGAATATAGAGATGCACTTTTCAGCTTAAATATATTCTTTTAAATGATATACTTTTTTTCAATCTGGTTAATTGGAATTTAAAGCCGAAAATTTTTTACTTCCAGGTAATAACAATTTTGGAGTATTTTTTGTGAACATCTTTGAGCAACTGTGGCAACGGAAACATTTTGGGTGCTGATAACGGTTCGTATCAACTTTTACGAACAAATTCGGCATTTTGATGATCATACCACTATTAAATTTTTGTATTAAATGCATGTGGTTGGTGAAAAGTAGTGGAGTTTAACTAGTCATGCCATGCTTTTGAAGGTGTGACCCATGAGTTCTTCGGAGGAGAACTACCAAGTTGTAATACTCTATAGAGCGAACAATTTCATGCAAGCTCTTTTTGAAAGTTTGATTTTTTGTTTCTACCCACATGTATAGCAGAATTATAAAAAATAAAATTCCTTTAAGATTAGAAGAATTAAAATCTAGTATCAAAAACACCAACACGGTGTATGTGAAACTGGACTAGAAGTGCGAGAATACACGAGTGTCGAACAGTAACTTGATAAATTTGATTACTTTGAGGGAGCTTATTTTGCAGAAAAAGTTACTTTTACAGGTCTCCTCTACAGTTTTTTGACCCGAGATTCAAACTGTTATGGTAGAACGAAATATAAAAAAATTTTGACTTATCAAGCGAAAAATCTGCAAAACTATCATGGAATGACCCATACACAAAAAAAAGCGACTGACAGCGTTACGTAGTATACTGTCATACTAATGTAGACCCAGTGGCAGCATTCGTAAACTGCAGCGGTGGCTGAGACGAAATGCTGCAGATTCTGGACCCCGCAATGTGCATAACCAGTCGAAATCGCGCGCAGAAGGCCTTCTAGCGCCTGTCTTGCGACCACGAGTCTCCCGGGCTTTATTTGGTGCGTTGATTAAAATTTTGCCAGGTGGATCTAAAGGTAATCTTAAAGCGGCTTCCGCAGAATTGGAGCTCCACGGCTTGTCAGAAAGACCGCCACAGCGCTGAATTTTTCTGTGCTTAGGCGAGCTAAGCGCTGTCAACTTTTGCTGATGATTTTGCTATGAGTAGTGTAGAGATAAAGAAAAAAAGCGGGTACTGTTGACGACTTAACTTGTTCTGAGTACTAGACAAAACTGAAATTGATATAAGAAATTGTTTTAGCTTCAAATTTTACATTATATGGGAGAATTTCGGTCAGAAAACTACCTAATACTTTTTAACAACGCCGCCTTAGCGAATTGACTGATTGGAAGTTCTCAGAGTATTCATTAAGGATAGGAGCACCCTGAACTTAGAAAACTAATCTTGAAATGACCAAGACCTTATTAACTTTATAAGAATTATTTTCTCAAAGTTGCAGTCAGAAGATATTATTGCCAACTAATGGAACGTCGTCTACCAAAGTTGTCTCAACTGACGGACCCTTTCACGGAATTGCAGCTAAATATCCACATGAGAGTTATACCATTGGTGTCGATGTCATTTAAATGTAAGTCCTTTCTAAATTGACTGCGGTGCTCAGCTGCAGTCCATGTTCTACCATTACTTCATTTTAAGATAGTCTTAAACTTTTGATAGTAGATGAGCTGCTCGAAACTAATTTTATACCATTAGAAAAGCTAAGAAGAGTTTTCTATGTCGTAAGATTTGAAATTTCTATACTTGCAAAAAGTGTCAGTCATGGGCATAATACGAATTAAGAACCATTACACTTTAAAATTTTGGTTTATTTTTTACTTTTTTAATTTGTTTATCTGGCGGTATGGCGGTTAAATTATTTTTTAAACTAAGCGCTAAAATTCTTTGATAGAAAGAAGACGCGTTTGATAAGGGTTGTGACAAGAATAAGTAGAGCTGAAAAAATAAAAAGTTGAAAATTTCTCATGTCAGGGGATCTGCTATAAAACCAGCAGTAAAATTATAGTTTTGGTGAAGAAAACCATTTACAAAAAGATGAAATTTGTTACAATATTGCAAAAACCAAAAAATTGCCAGTAGTAAAAGTTTAGGAGGTTTTGACAGCCTTCAGGTTCTTATCAATTATCTCGTAAAAACTTTTATCACTTCCAGTCAGAAATTTGAGACTTGCACAATACAAGTAAAATTAGGAGAACAACAGGAAATTTAGGGAAAGGAAAGAAGAGGGCAATATTATGAGGTAAAAAAGGCCGTCCTTGTAATTATAAAATGATTTAATTGCGCAACTAAATTTTTGATACACGTCTATATCGTTATAACCTTCAGTTGTCAATAAGCTGCTGGAATGTTCATAGTAAGGTATCGAATAAACGCCAAATTTCAGTTGCCAGCTTTCCACATGGCTCTCTTTAGCAGTTCAAAACTGGATTCTGCGAATGTTCTTGTCCTATAATGGTATTCCAGCGCCAACTGCTTGTGACAGAAACGAGTATTCAGAATTTTCGCAGATATAAATTTGTATAAGTTTCTCTGAATGATTATTTCAAAGTGAAAAAGAAATATTTTTTTTAGTAATTCGAGTTCTCTAGATTGAGTGAAAAAAGCCCATATTCAAAAAAATGGACAAACGTGATTAGAACCGTTTCTGAATAAACCTTTAACCCTGTCATACCGTCTCACTAGTATATAATACTGTCTACAATATTTTCAAACTTGGCAAGCAGTAACATATAACTTGTGCTGAGTGGCACAAAAAAAGTTATAATGAAGCATATAAGCTTACTTTTTAAAATTGGTTGACCAAAGTAAACATATTTTTTCATTAAACAAACTTTCTATATATTGCATTTAAAAAAAAGCAAATTGAATAATTATGAAACCTCTCTTTCGCTCACTTTTTCACTATTCATCAGCTTTCTCAAGACGACTTCAGCTTTTAAAAAATTACTGCATTTTGTGGATAACAGATTTTCAAAACTGTTTGATACCGAGTGAAGAATGAAGAAAATAAAAAATCTTTGGCAGATAGAAAAAAAGATAAAAGCTAACAAATGAAGCTAACAAAAGAAAAGCTAGTTTCTTATAGGAGAATGCAAATAATCTTGGGCATGACACTTTATTTTACAAATGAATAAAGAAGGTTGTCTGTGGCTTACCTTCTCTTTATTGTTTTGAAAGTAAAGAATTGAAAGGTCGAGCAAATTTGGAATACTTTATATTATTTTAAAATTAATTTTTTTTATTGAAAATGCTGAAGTATTAAAAAAACTTTAGACCTACAAACAGACAACACAGTAAAGAATTTTTTAAAAAGATTGTCTTTAAAGAATAGAAAGAGTGATTCAGCTGGCAACTTTATTCAAAAAATTTCGACTTTTAAAAACATAAAACTTGTTTGCATAAGAAGATTGTACGAAAAAAGTTCTTTCGTTAGGGCGATATAAAAAACTGCAATAAATTATTGAAAAAAGCTGAGGTTAAATAGAACTTTATTTTGAATTTAAGCAGAAGTAGAAACATCTCTAAAATAGTACGAAATAAATGAACAGTAAAAACGAGGTTTGTTCGGTAATTTTGCATTATATCTTCACACTTTTTTCATTCACTAATAAACGCACACTGAATTCAGACAAGTTTTGTAACTGTGATTTCTCTTAATAACTGCTCAAACAAATCAGGTAACCATGCCAACTTTGTTTAAACGTTCTAACTTATAATCGTTAAAAACTAGCCGTGCACTCTCAGCTGATAATAACGCTCTCTACAGTTTGACAGACGAGGGTCAAGCATTTGTCAAGAAATTACCGTTGCTCATGGTTGACGACATCAATAACAAAAACCAGAAGATTTAAAACGTGTCACGAGCTGTCAGATTTGATCCAAAAAGTAAAAATTCAAGTTTATAAGCTTGTAGAGTCCTCACGCTTAGAGCGCTAAGAAAAAAATTACCATTTCGAACTAAAACTTTTCTTATCTGACATGCTTACCTGTATACACTGCAAGTGTTCAGCGTTGTATAATATTTCTTTCTAAGCGTTTCGTGGTTTCTGTTCTGTAAAAATTTTGAGTAGTTTTACATTCCATGTTACTATTTCTTCTATACGTTTGTAATTAAAACAAAATTTTTTTCTTGCCTTTCTCAGTTACGCTGTTAGCCTGATGCTTTTCGTTTTCGATTTTAACTCATAAAAGAATTTTTAACGTTGAAGCAGGCTTATTTATTTTTGAGAGACTAAACCAACCAATGAAGTTTCTTAAAGTTTTTTAATTTTGTTAACCACGCTAATTTTTATCGGCCACATTGCAGGGCAGAAAAACTTACAGATTCCGGACTTATGAAAAATGAAGCTTGTTTTCGTCCGAGAACAAACATAAATTTAATTATCAATGTTACAAAGAACATCATTTTGTATAAGAACCTACCATTGTAAAATTTGTAGTATAAATGCACGTTTGTTCATATACAATATGTACTCGGCTTCTTGGTGCCTTTTTACGTTTCACTAATAAGAAAGCGAGACTTTGTAACTGACAGACACATTTCAAAATTTTTCTATTAATCTTCCATTAAACTCTAAACAAAAATAGAGCAGCGTGAAAACAGAAAAGGGAAGCACTTAACACGTCTGGCCCACAGTTTAACGAATGGTATCAGTCGTTTTGTACGTTACTTTTCGCAGGACATGAAATAGTAATACATCTATCTCTGCGTAATTTGGTCCTATTACAAAAAACTACTTTTGCTTTTAAATACTCCAAATTGTGCTAAACTTCCACTTGCAACATTTCACAATTTAAGAAAGAATTCTACCAAACAGCCCATCATTCAAATTCAATGCTAGTGAAAAAACCAGACTCTGTGACTTTCAGCAAATACTTCGTGCTCGCTTACTTTTTTTGCCTTCAGCTTGCTGCTTTTAAATCTTACTTCTCCATGTAAGTTTGGCGATTCTTTGCGGTCTTCTTGCTTCTACTGGTTACATTGGTTGCAACGAATGAGCACCAGCAGCCAATGAGTTTTCTAATAAAAAGCAACAATATAATTTTAAAGAAGTTGATAATAAATTTAGGAACAAATTTTGTTTCAAAATTTTGAGCAAAGGTGTTTCTCAGCTAATTAAAAAACTTCAGTAACTCTGTCACCTAAAATTTGTATAAAATTCGCAAAATTTTGCTCTTGAAGTTTTTTAAATTTTGAAAACTCTTTTTGCTTCTTTCATTTTTTTGAATTTTAAAGAAGTATGCACCAAAAAAATTGCGACAGCAGCTAGATTGCTACTTTGCTACTATATTGCAGTCCAAAGGACATATTGGTTGTGTACCTTGACCAGGGATTTTAAGGTCGTCCTAGAACAGCGAACAGTGCCCCAACGTGTTGTGATGATAGCACGTGATGGAAGGTTTGATATTTATGAATAGCAGTGAGAAACCACAGCAGTGAGGGTTTAATTCTTAGCGGAAGTAGCGAAACGGGGTGGTAAGCTAGAAGAGTGATATCTGAGAGATGGTTTTAAACAGTGGTGTCGCATCTGCACCCCAAAAATGTTCAAATGTCCAATTCTGAAGTAAGCATGACAGCTCCTTTATCGCCTCTCATGTAAAGTA